TCCCCACCTTACCCTCTCCCCACCTCAATCTAAGCTCCCCCCAAAATACTTCAGTCCTACATCCATCACTACTTCCTGGTCCCAGTTATAGGTCACAAACTAACCTAACGTGACCTAGCATGACCTGACCTCTATATATAACCGTTACCAGGTCATAGTGGTTGCTGGGGTCAGGTCAGATGGTCAATTCATCTGCTGGGAGTGGGTTTCGACGCGGTGGGAGAGTGAAACATTTAAACAGATCTCGGTCAGTCAGCCAGCCAACCCCACACACACACTATTGACATCGCTCTTGTTTCCTGTATTAATTAAGATACAACAGGTACAATTACAGGCACAGTACAGGTAAAGATACAGGTACAAAGTTTCAGTGATAGTACATAAATTCATCACTAACTTGACTCATGTTTTGCTCTACGTTAAGTTCCTGGCTGAGTGGTATAATTATTCCTTCATTAAATACAAGTTCGAAGATTCGATCCTCGGGGTTTGCTGTGCGTAGTACTGTATAGTGAAGTTACGAAATGTATTAGTTATATTTCATGTATGTACGTATGTATGTATTTAATAGAGATACGTTGTTTATGATTATTATTATTATTTATATATGAATTTAGGATCATTTTACCGGGTTATTACAGCTAAGTTACGTGCCAGTTCGGTTTAAAAGCTCCTAAAGCTCCGTTTTCTCTCACTCGCTTACAATAATATAGTGTCTAAAATACTTCTAATATCTCTATCGATTCTATTAATTATATACGCTCTACTAACTCGAGTATTTAAATTAATTTGTATTTTTTTATTTATGTGATGAGGGATTTGGAATGAGTTAGGTCTTAATTTTATATATGAAAGAATCTGCCAGCGAGTAGGCACCGAGTGAGTTCATTCAAGACCAGACTTGACCAACACTGGTGTAGGTACAGAAACACCCTGGAGCCAGTACATGCCCAGTACTTGCCAACAGTGCGTAACAGAGAGCCAGTATTACTTAACAGTGTGCAACAGAGAGAAAGTACTTGCCAACAGTGTGTAACAGAGAGCCACTACTTGCCAAGAGTGTGTTAGAGTGAGTCAGTACATTCCCACTACTTGGCAACAAGTAAAATAAGCTAGGGAAGGGGAGGGCAACTTTCAGGTTAGGTTAGGTTTGATAAAGTTAGGTTAGGTTAGATTAGGTGAGGTTAGATTAGGTTAGGTTAGATTAGGTTAGGTTAGGTTAGATTAGGTTAGGTTAGATTAGGTTAGGTTAGGTTAGATTAGGTCAGGTTAGATTAGGTCAGGTTAGATTAGGTTAGGTTAGATTAGGTTAGGTTAGATTAGGTTAGGTTAGATTAGGTTAGGTTAGATTAGATTAGTTTTTCTATGGAACCATTCATTTACATGTATTATAATGATATACATAATGACCCCAAAGAAAATACATAGAAGTTATCTCTAATAGACAATTACCCCCTTTACCAGAACACATATACAGACTGCATATATCTGTACCACATATATATATATACTTACATATTTCACCACACATATTTATCTTATCGTAAACATCATAGAATAAATTAATGCATCCTAAAGTATCGTCGCCATTACAATAATTCTTTATCTCTTCATTATTGTATTACATCTGATTTAGTCTTGTTTAGGAGTTTATTCTGATTTATGAGTACAGTACAGAATTATATAAAGAGTAGACACAGGTAGATTACAGGTAGACAGGTAAATTACAGGTAGACACAGGTAAATTACAGGTAGATATGGGTATATTACAGGTAGACACAGGTAAATTACAGGTAGACACAGGTAAATTACAGGTAGACACAGGTAAATTACAGGTAGACACAGGTAAATTACAGGTAGATATGGGTATATTACAGGTAACACAGGTAAATTATAGGTAAATATGGGTATATTACAGGTAGCTACACGTACATACAAGGTAGACTCGATAATTTACAGGTAGATACATGTAAAATGCAGGTAGATTAAAGGTAGATATAGGCCAATTATAGGTAGATACAGGTAAATTTCAGGTAGATTACAGGTAAATTTCAGGTAGATTACAGGTAAACTAAACACACACACAGCTCATTGCCACTAACGCCTTCATCTTATGGTGAAAACTGTACATCACAAGGTGCTTAATTAATCTTATGTCTACCAACCCCAAACACGTAAATGACTCACCGCAGTACAATTATCCCTATGACATTATGATAATTAACAATGCTAAATAACTCATTAGTACTTTTGTGACACGTAATTAAAGTTTATCGTCATTAGAGTTAATTTGGTTATTATTATCGTTATTATAGTATTCTTGTTGTGTTCAAATTATCGCTGGTATTTTTATTTTGACTTTGTTGTTGAGTTGTTGAGGGTGGGTTGTTGAGGGTGGGTTGTTGAGGGGTTGTTGATGGGTTGACGTGGAGTGTTGAGAGTGGGTTGTTGACGGTGGTTGTTGAGGTGGATTGTTGAGGTGGGTTGTTGAGGTGGGTTGTTGAGGTGGGTTGTTGACGGTGGGTTGTTGAGGGTGGGTTGTTGAGGTGGGTTGTTGAGGGTGGTTGCTGAGGGTGGTTGTTGACGGTGGGTTGTTGACGGTGGGTTGTTGAGGGTGGGTTGTTGAGGGTGGGTTGTTGAGGTGGGTTGTTGAGGGTGGGTTGGTTGGGGTTGTTGACGGTGGGTTGTTGACGGTGGGTTGTTGACGGTGGGTTGTTGACGGTGGTTGTTGAGGGTGGGTTGTTGAGGGTGGGTTGTTGAGGTGGGTTGTTGACGGGAGTGTTGAGAGGGTTGTTGACGGTGGGTTGTTGAGGGTGGGTTGTTGACGGTGGAGTGTTGAGAGGGGTTGTTGACGGTGGGTTGTTGAGGGTGGATTGTTGAGGGTGGGTTGTTGAGGGTGGGTTGTTGAGGGTGGGTTGTTGATTGTGGGTTGTTGAGGGTGGGTTGTTGAGGGTGGGTTGTTGAGGGTGGGTTGTTGAGGGTGGGTTGTTGAGGTGGGTTGTTGAGGGTGGGTTGTTGAGGGTGGGTGTTAGGTGGTTGTTGAGGGTGGGTTATTGAGAGTGGGTTGTTAGGTATATGTTGTTAAGTATGGGTTGTTAATGATGAGCCACTAAGCTATGTTGGGTCTCGTTAAATTGGGTTCTCACTAAACTCTACCGGACTCCTCCTCTCCCCAACCCTCCTCCCCCACCCCCTCCTCCCCCCCTCACCCCCCAAAAAAAATCACTAAACGAACACACAGATTAATTATATCATACAATGTAAACCATAAAACACATCCCAGATATTAAACTAATTCATTTAAATATCTGTTCTTTATTATTCTCTATTTCAGCCGATTTAACCAATACTTAATTATGTATCTAAATAATTGGGTGAATTATTATATTTTTATTTTATTTTATTGTTTTTAAATCAATGACTTTAAAATTGTAATAAAAATCGCTAGAAGGATAAAAGTTCTTAAAGTAGTTCAGTCTTTCTGCCATCGTGTGTAAACTAACCAGTCAGTGTCACCAGTTTAGTTCAGTCTTACGATAAACCAGTTAATATGTGATTCCTCTTCTCCAGTTACTTAAAATTTCGACTGTGAACAAGAATTAGAAAAAATTAAATAAATTATGAATGTTGTTAAGTGATAAAGAATAATATAGAGAGAAATAAGAAAAGGGAATGAAAATCACACGCCTAAGAAAAAAGTGTGTGTGTGTGTGTGTGTGTGTGTGTGTGTGTGTGTGTGTGTGTAATGTTCTCCACTTCCAACATTTACTTACACTACTACCAATGTTTACTGTAGGTCTATAATGGTCAATAATAATATGGGTGTGAGAACGAACAGCCAATTAGAAGTCCTGAAACGTGTGAATACATGTGAATAAAACAAGTACATTTGTTAATTCTTGTTAATTATAAGTTAATTACCATGATACTTATACATAATGGTATTTAAAGTAATTCATTAATATTCTAACGTAAATAAACCAAATTCCATCATTTTAACTTAGGGTTGGCGACCACAGCCCACTCGTCATAGCCTTCAGAGACACGTATACAAATTTCTCTTATGTAATCAATTAACTGATAACAGGTACAGGTATAATAACATAAGACTGATTTAGTAGATAGTTAATTAAATCCATAGGTGTTTTCGTTAGCTCTTATGATACAGAGAGCATTTTATCGTTGCCTGTGAGACTGTTTTTTTTTAAGTCTCCCCCAAAAAAATAAATTAAGAAGAAAACGTATTCGAGTCTGTTAGATTTTTTGTGTAATTCGGGTATGATGCATCGGTGTGCCGGATAGATTCGTTAAGCCGGATAGATTAATTAAACCGGATAAATTCGTTTTATATTTAGGTGAAAAGACAGACACACACACACACACACATCGCTTCTTCTCTCTTTAATTATACGAAGATACAGACAGACAGAGAGGAGCGGGGTTAAGTCACAATAAAAGAGAGAGAGAGAGAGACATTCATTCATGGTATACTGTTATTACCTCACTGTAACATGGACCTCCTTTAAGGCACAGTACACTATGTTAAGCATTATACCACGACCACACGATAAACAAACCCCGATTAACGATAATGATGATTTTCTTGTAATTAATTAGTCATCATTATAATTGTTTGTCTTTTATTTAGGTCGTTAACAGATGAATCACCATACTAGAGAGATTAATAGACGTTGGTGTGTTTATTAGTGTCCAAAGTGGAGATGTTAACGTAAATTACTATGTTATAATTTAAGAAGACGTAATGATGTGGAAATTAATACGTGAGAATATTTAATGTTTTTGTTTTGCTCGGCTAGTTGAAGGAATTAACGTGTATAATAATGTGTAAGAGTGTGGAGGCCGGTGTAGTGGTAGAGACATAGACTGGACAAACGAAGGCAGAACGTGACCGGAACTTTAAACTTTAGCGGGATGCAGTATAAACCCTCCCCCACCCGTGTAGGTCTAAACTTAAGTTCCTCCGTCCTGCCCTCCTACAGGAGTAAGCAGTGCCATCACCGCCTCAATCATCGTGGAAGAGGAAGAGGACGAGCAGTCGCCTCCACTATGGGAGCGAGCCAGGTGAAGATGGGTCCCCCTCCCCCTAGTGTCCCCCTCCCTCAGTTCCCCCTAGTGTCCCCCTCCCTCAGTTCCCCTAGTGTCCCCTCCCTCAGGTCCCCCCGTGTGTCCCCTCCCTCAGGTCCCCCAGTGTCCCCTCCTGTTCCCCCTAGTGTCCCCCCTCAGGTCCCCCCCAGTGTCCCCCTCCCTCAGGTAAACTAGTTGGTGATGATGGCTGGTGAAGACTCGCAGTCCCTCGACCACCTCTCCTCGCTACCTTCTCCCCGCTGTCCCGCTCCTCCCGTCACGCCTATGATCATCGCCTCAACCACTCTCCAGGTGGTCACGTAAGGACCTGGTACTCTCCCCCGCCCACACGACTCTCAAACAAAATTTAACTCTCATTAAAAGTTGATGGAACAATAATAATGGTGCAGAAAACAGTTGGCGTGGTGTGGGCTGCAGGGTGTTGAGGCTGGGCTGCAGGGTGTTGAGGCTGGGCTGCAGGGTGTTGAGGCTGGGCTGCAGGGTGTTGAGGCTGGGCTGTAGTACCTGTGTTCCCAAGAAGCATGGGTGAAGTGGTGTTGTGTGGAGGGAGAGGTGTGGCGAGGATGGTGGTGAGGTGGGCAGATCTTCACCACTCACATCATCAACTATGGATGCCACTGGCAGTTAAGTCTTGGCTTTTCCCCTCCAAGAGTCCCAGTCAGGATTGTGTTAGTGGTAGGTAGTAGTTGACGGTGTCTTGTATGGAGCTCCTGTCATGGGAGGCTCCTCGGGACGTCTTGTAAAAGCTTTTAAAACATTTGTGGCTTTTTAGTCTCTATCATATGGATGTAGAGCGTGTAAACAGCTCACTCCTCCGTGGTTCTGCCTGAATTATCGATGTTTTTACTAAATAAACTAAAAAACATAATAGTAAACATGTGCTTGTGTCTCGCTGTTGAGTCCTCCGCCAGCTGAAGCCACAAACACTTTCTTCTAACAGTCTTAAATAAGTTGCTTAACAAACTATCAGGATAAAAAAATATATTTATATAAGGGTGTGACGAGCGTATGTTCGCCAGCACTGACGATCCTCAGTCCAGGTGCCAGCAGAGCCAAACAGCGGGAGACGATGTTTGTATGTTGTGTCGCTCGACCATAAACTATTCTCTTATTGCTAGTTGTAAATAAACCAAATGAACTAAACCAACAGACCATCTATGATAAACCTTGGCTGATGCATGGTTAAATCTATACACATTTGTTTGCTTCATTCTGGGTAATAGTTCTGTTTTTAATTCACTCTACCTCACGTGTGCTGCATGATGCTAAATCAATTTTTCCCTCCATTAAGCCATATTAGTATTTTTTTTAATAGATTATACGATGTCTGCATACTTCTACTGAACTCACCACAACATGCAATTGCAAAAAAATATATGGGAGATCTGTTTAATGACTTGTTGCAGGAATTTGTAAGTTGTTGATGGTGTGTTAATGAGTTGATTAAGAGTTGCTGAGGTGAGGTAAGGTGAGCCACGAGGAGTATGGAGTAAGTAAAGTATAAGGTCTCCTGAACAGTGGTAGTGTGGGTGGCTCCTCACACTGTGGGTGGCTCCTCACACTGTGGGTGGCTCCTCACACTGTGGGTGGCTCCTCATAGTGTGGTGGCTCCTCACACTGTGGGTGGCTCCTCATAGTGTGGGAGGCTCCTCACAGTGTGGGTGGCTCCTTACAATGTGGGTGGCTCCTTACAATGTGGGTGGATCTCACAGTGTGGGCGGCTCCGCAGTGTGGGTGGTTCCTCAAGTGTGCGCCTGCAGGGGTGGCTCTCACAGTGTGCGTGGCCTCATAGTGTGGGTGGCTTTTTCATAGTGTGGGTGGCTCATGGGGCGGCCTGCAGTGTGGGTGGCTCTCCAGTGTGGGTGGCTCACAGGGGTGGCTCACAGGTGGCCTCATAGTGTGGGCGGGTCCGCAGGGGTGGCTCACAGTGGGGTGGCTTCTCACAGTGTGGGTGGCTCACAGTGTGGGGTGGCTCACAGTGTGGGTGGCTCCTCGCAGTGTGGGTGGCTCACAGTGTGGGTGGCTCCTCGCAGTGTGGGTGGCTCCTCACAGTGTGGGTGGCTCCTCACAGTGTGGGTGGCTCCTCACTGTGTTAGTGATGCTGTAGATGGTTGTCTTAATACATCTCTTCACAAGGTAAAATAATACTTTATTTACACACACACACACACACACACACACACACACAACATTTGCCTTTTTTTTAAAACAAAACTAAAGATTTTTTCTTAAATTTTAAGTAGTGATAATTTTGTGTTCAATGTAAAATGGATAATTTTTTAATATAATTTTAGTTAGATAAGATGAACACAGATGAACAATGTCTTAAATTTTCCCTAAATTATTATAGAAATTTCCTGTGTGTAAACTAAATATTTTATGATCTAAAATATAATAACTTTTGGTGTTTGATAAAGAACTAATAACACCGTAGCATGTGCTTTAGATATTGACTCTTGTGTGTGTAAGTGGTCTCTGCTGTAGTGGTGCTCTGGTCAACCTCTCAACAGACAGACTGTGTCAAGTAGAGCCTCGTGTTCTGTAGCCTTAGTTCACCCCATAATGACGGCTTTTAACATGTGTACAGTTAACATGTGTACAGTTAACAAGTGTACAGTTAACATGTGTACAGTTAACATGTGTATAGTTAACATGTGTACAGTTAACAAGTGTACAGTTAACATGTGTACAGTTAACATGTGTACAGTTAACATGTGTACAGTTAACATGTGCGTTAACATGTGTACAGTTAACATGTGTACAGTTAATATGTGTACAGTTAACATGTGTACAATTAATATGTATACAGTTAACAAGTGTACAGTTAACATGTGTACAGTTAACATGTGTATAGTTAACATGTGTACAGTTAACAAGTGTACAGTTAACATGTGTACAGTTAACATGTGTACAGTTAACAAGTGTACAGTTAACATGTGTACAGTTAACATGTGTATAGTTAACATGTGTATAGTTAACATGTGTACAGTTAACATGTGTACAGTTAACATGTGTACAGTTAACATGTGTACAGTTAACATGTGTACAGTTAACATGTACAGTTAACATGTGTACAGTTAACATGTGTACAGTTAACATGTGTACAGTTAACATGTGTACAATAACATGTGTACAGTTAACAAGTGTACAGTTAACATGTGTACAGTTAACATGTGTATAGTTAACATGTGTACAGTTAACAAGTGTACAGTTAACATGTGTACAGTTAACATGTGTACAGTTAACAAGTGTACAGTTAACATGTGTACAGTTAATTTATCTCAACCTTCAAAGGTTATATTAACACTGTTTGTTATAGTTAACTGGCCCGCCGCTCCTCCCCTCAGGCGTGTGACAGTGAGGCGTGACATATGACTCACTACTCTGAGACAACACCTTTACGCCTGACGAACAACACAGTACAATAGGCAGTGCAGTGAATCCACTATATAACGGACTTCTTTCTCCTTTATAATCCGTTAAATAGAGGATTTTTCATATCCAACGGACCCTTGATATTACGGATTATCGTATCGATAGTGTTCGTTCGATGGAGGTTTTATATTTAATAAACCCTCGATATAGCGGACTTTTCTTCGCTATATAGTCCGTTAAATAGAGGTTTCACTGTAAACATGAATAAAATAAGTGTAGTCAATATATAAGTTAATGTTTACTATACAAAACTTGCATCGTTTATTGTCATGATAACAAAAGAATATATATTATTAGTTCAGGTATTCAACTCTCGCCTTCCAACACCAAGATCATTACTACATTACACAGCAACAATAACCTTCGTTTAAGTATACTATCGTGTGACTATAGCGCTGGATTTAATGTACACAGGACAATGACTTAGGTGTTGTGTAGCCGTGAGTGTAGTTTCAACCTTTACTAGATCGACTAAAGTTTTGTATTTCCCGCAGGAGGATGTCCGCCATCTGCTTCGTATGTAACCTGCCCATCCTGAGTCACCAGGTGGGGCTGGTGCATGACGAACTCCAGAGCTGCGTCCCCCAGACCCCGAGTGGGTCGCAGGGACTCTTCCGCCCAGATCACCACCATCGAGCCTCCTCGTGAAGTGCGGGAGACTTCTCCTCCCACCTCCCGCAGGCGACGATCCTCTGGCACAGCTCACCGACATCTTGCGAGATTGGGGACGACGGGATATAACGGAACAGCGCTCCACCAGTACCTGTACGACCACCACCAGCACCCCGGTCGGTCCCCTCACTCGCAGGGAGAGTCGTGACCTTAGTCGAAGAGAATCCATCGCAGACATCGCTAGGTCTCTACCATGGCGACGAAAAGACTCGATCGTCGAAGTTCCTCGCATCAAAACTCGGCGGGAGTCTTCGGCCGAAATGAAGAAGAGACGACAGAGCAGTACAGACATTCGCTCAGACATTGCCAAGTTCCTGGCCAGACGAGAGAGCGTTGCAGAAATCCTACGGAGGCGGCGGGACTCCCTGGAACAGGAGAAGAAGGAGCGGCGCGACTCTACCACACAGGTTTATACACGATCAAGTCGCAATAGTATAGACAAAACGTCATCACCTGATCGGCCAGAAATACATTCTCCTCGGCACGTGTCTTCACCCGAACCCCGAGACCTGATGCCCAGAACCATCGTTACTACACAAGTGTCATCAGAATCCCATGTTTCACAAACCTCGCTGGTGTCACAGGTGTCGACGGGTGGGAAGGACCCATCAGACCCCGGAATCATGGAACCCAGGTCGCCGGTGTCGTCCCCGGCGCCCTCCTCCCCCACCACCACTATACGTCGAGAATCTACCACCCAGATATACCGCGGCAGACGAGACTCTCGGCCGCAAGTGTCGCCTGAGCGAGGGTCAGGACGAGGTAGTCGAGAGCCATCACCCAAATACCGAGGACTGAGGCGACAGTCGACGGCCATCGAGGAAGGTCTTCCACTCCCTGGCTCACGTCGAGGCTCCCGACCCTTCCTTCCCCGACGCCCCTGAGACAGATGGGCTATCTAAAAAATGCCGTCGAGACTCTGTCTCCCGACTCGGCGGCAGCGGAGGAGCTGTATATGGGTAGGAAGGCGCGACGGGACTCCCGACCCCATCTGTCTCCAGAGGCCAGTGACTCCAACTCCAGGGAAACATCTCCTAGAAGTCGACTCAGGAGACAGTCAACCACAGCGGCCGAGTACTGTGGTCGGGGCCGTCGACCTTCCCGCCTCCCTCGCTCCCCAGACTCTTCCTCAACTTGTTTTCCAGAGAACACTCGCCAAAAGAGCGAGGTCTTCGACGTCAGTCAACCACCGAAGAAATCTTACTGTCTCGGGGATTTCGTCGACAGTCGACAACAGAGGACATAATGCGAGCCCGTAACTTCCGTCGGCAGAGTACCCAGAGTGAGGAGATGTCACGCCTGGGGCGCAGAGACTCCAGCGCCCAGATCACCGACGGCACCTTAGCTACCATGACTGTTGAGACCTCGTGTGCCTTCTTCGACACCTCGACCAGTAAGAGAGAGACCAGTTGTTAAGCACGACGCCTTAAGCTTCTCAGGGTCAGCCTTGCATGACACTGTTGCTCTCCTCTACACGCTCCCTGCCTGTGTCCTTCCATTACTCTCTCTTACAGTACGCTGTTATTTTGTATTAACACAATAATGATCTGGTCTAGACTTATGTGTCGTGTACTATGTGACTCTTGGTTGACGCCTCCGTAGTTGTGTTGTCTGCTGTGTGAGCGGAGTGGTAACAGGTGACGAAACTGAAAGCTTTTCCTGCTGTCAAACACTTGCTGTCGTACTAACACTCCTCCATCACACACAGTACTTGAACAAACACACATACATAAGCATTTTGAACAGACAGACATTCTGGCCTCTAGTCATCACCTCAATGAACCAAACTCATCTAATCTACTTTTATTACGCAAATCTCTTCATTATATTTCCATTCAATTGACATTGTTATTCGCCTTTCATACATTTCATTCACTCTAAAAAATACATCTCAAATTTATAACAGTAATTAACCACATGTAGCACAATTAAAACAATAAATTAACCTTATAATACAAACAGTTAAGTACGCATTACAGATACAGTCATTCGCAGTTAATTAGTGTTAAAAACGCTCTGTCTTAATCTAAATAGAAATAATAATTAGCCTCAAAACGTATTAATGTGTTGAGGGGGCCACTTCACACACCTATAATATCCAGACACCTATTTTGTGGAGAGAATCTGGAGACGATGGCCAGGTAGTGTGCGGGCGAAGGAGGCATGTGTAGGGACGGCTGTTCTGTTTACATATTGACTGGGATGGTTGCTGGAGACGTGGCGGACGCTCCTTCGAATACCCAAACCCATTCTAAACTAGACACAACTCCGTAAGTCTTTTGGAGAATACGACAAGTAATTTCAAAAGCTGTTATATCGAGTGATTGTGTAAATAGAAGAGTTATTGATGCTGAATCATGTTTGGGTAGAATGAACTCGAGTTCTGTTTTCTTTATAAATGCTGTTGAATCTTCACGTTTTCGCCTGGGTTTTGTTTTTCTTTTCTGTCACTTATAATTAATTTTCTTTTGTTTCGTGTGACATAGCACCAAGCAGCGTCATATCACTTATAGCTGATTCGCTTTGTTTGTGACATAGCATCAAGCAGCGTCAAATCACTTATAGCTGATTCGCTTTTGTTTCGTGTGACATAGCATCAAGCAGCGTCATATCACTTATAGCTGATTCGCTTTTGTTTCGTGTGACATAGCATCAAGCAGCGTCAAATCACTTATAGCTGATTCGCTTTTGTTTCGTGTGACATAGCATCAAGCAGCGTCAACGATTTTGTTTCGTGACTAGCATCAAGCAGCGTCATATCACTTATAGCTGATTCGCTTTTGTTTCGTGTGACATAGCATCAAGCAGCGTCATATCACTTATAACTGATTCGCTTTTGTTTCGTGTGAGATCATCATAAAGCAGCGTCCCGTTACGTCACGTGTTGCATGCTAAACCAGCTTGTGACGATGGTGTTAGTAATGTTGTTGTCTCAGAAGTTAAATGCATTGCCGTATGTTAATTTACTGTTTAACGTGACTTCCCTTTCCCACCCCACTACCCTCACTTTCACCTCTAGGACTACTTTCTTTGGTTCACTTTCACTTTATCTTCATGATCACTGTATAAGACTGGCTTTATCTTCATGTTCACTGGTCTAATGACGTTGTATGGTCACTTTCACTCCTAAATAATCACTTTTTCTTCATTTTCACTTTGTAATGCTCACTTCCTTTCCACTTTCCCCATTAGAATGACTGGTTGACTGTCCTGGCTGCCTTTTATTAGACTGTGATTTGCGATTAAACTGTCCCTGTGGTGTATAAAATAGTACCAGTTACTACACAGTCACCAGTCAGGCAGCCAGGACCTTGACTACTAAGACTGTACTAACTGGCTCTGGATTCTCAAAGCTTTATGTGTTTAATTCTCGTAAGTCAATAAATAAGAATGTTTAATAGTTAGACTTAGATTACTATATAAATATGGCCGACCTAAACATGGTAATCGTGAAATGCATGTGCTAACCTAACCTAACCTAGCGCCCCCAGGCCCCGTTGTGGGTCGTTTGACCTGTGCCCGGGTGGGCTAATTCACGTTAAAAAAACTAACCTAATCTGCCTTAACTAACCTAATCTAACCTACCTAAAGTAACCTAACCTAAACCTGAACTAACCTAACCTACTTTAAATAATCTAAAGTAACCTAACGCTAACACTAACCTAACGCTAACCTAACGCTTACCTAACCTAACACTAACCTAACGCTAACCTAACGCTAACCTAACCTAACCTAACGCTAACCTAACCCAAATAAAACTAAGAACCTTTGAGAATCCAGCCCAAAAAACCTAGTACTCTTAATTGTTATTGTTATTCTGTTCTTCAATCACCATCTACTGTTCTCCTACCATAACATTCTGTTCTGTTGTTCGTGTTAAAAAAAAGTTATTCAACAAGCATGTGTTGATATAAATTGTGTGATATACATTTCTAGATAAAAATTTGTATGACTAAATATGTTCATGTGTTCTTTAATGCAATATAAATTTATATAAATCAACGTGAGATAAATGTGTATAAATGGTTGTTTGCATAAAGTGAGTCTCGGCCTATATAAACAACCCATATAAACAACTACGTGAATAATTGAGCTATATAAACTAACGCACGTGACACACACACACACACACACACACACTGTAGGTGCATGAATAAAAGTAACCACCCTCCATCCCTCACCCCCATCACCACCCCCTCTCACCTGTACCCCCATCACCCCACACACCTCACCTGTACCCCCATCACCACCCCTCTCACCTGTACCCCCATCACCACCCCTCTCACCTGTACGCCCCATCACCCCACCCCTCTCACCTGTACCCCCCATCACCACCCCCCACCTGTACCCCCATCACCACCCCTCCTGACCCACCCACCCACCTGTACCCTCACCACCCCTGTCCCCATCACACACCTCTCACCTGACCCATCACCCCACACCTCTACCTGTATCCCATCACCACCCTCTCACCCCCATCCCACCCCTCTCACCTGTACCCCATCACCACCCCTCACCTGTACCCCATCCCACCCCTCTCACCTGTACCCCATCCCACCCTCTCACCTGCCCATCACCCCCTCTCACCTGTCCCCATCACCCCACCCCCCCCCCATCACCACCCTCCTACCTGTACCCCCATCACCACCCCTCCTCACCTGTACCCCATCACCACCCCTCTCACCTGTATCCCCCATCACCACCCCTCTCACCTGTACGCCCCATCACCCCACACCCTCACCTGTACCCCCATCACCACCCTCCTCACCTTACCCCCATCACCACCCTCTCACCTGTACCCCCATCACCCACCCTCTCACCTGTACCCCATCACCACCCTCTCACTCATCACACCCTTCACCTGTACGCCCCATCACCCCACCCTCTCACCTGTACCCCCATCACCACCCCTCTCACCTGTACCCCCATCACCACCCCTCACCTGTACGCCCCATCACCCCACACCTCTCACCTGTACCCCCATCACCACCCCTCTCACCTGTGCCCCATCACCACCCCTCACCTGTACGCCCCATCACCCCACACCTCTCACCTGTACCCCCATCACCACCCCTCTCACCTGTACCCCATCACCACCCTCTCACTGTACGCCCCATCACCCCACACCTCTACCTGTACCCCCATACCACCCTTTGCCATCACCCTTCTACCTGTACCCCATCACCCCACACCTCACCTGAACCCATCACCCCTCTCACCTGTACCCCCATCACCCCACACCTCACCTGTGGCTAATCTTTCAGTTGTATCTCTTCATCAGTTTTTGAGTTATATAAGAACCCCAGACGATGTGAGGGAACGGAGAGAAGGATTGTGTTCATGTTAAAATCACCAATTGGAATGAAAATCGGCTAGTCTGACAACTTTACTCCTAAAAAACATTAACTAGTGATAAATGCCAGTCAGATATCAACGAAAAACTTTGACCCATTTTAAAATCTCTAAGTTAAATTTACATAAACATAAACTAAGCCAATTTAGTTCTTTTTTACTACATTGATGAAAGTTTATTTTTCCACAAAACATCAAATCACATTAAACCAATTTAACTTTTCTTTTTCTACAATAATGAAAGTTCATTCTTACATAAACAACAAATTAAACCAACTTATGTTTTTATTCTACTGTTTTATTATAATTTTAGTTTTATTTTCCTGTATATGGTGCCGGAGTGTGATGGCTTAAGTGTGTTTCTGAGAATGTGAACCTGAAATGTTTTAGTCTCGTTGTTGCTTTAGACAGTGTTGCCACCTCAGTGTCTGCCCCAGGCCGTCTTCTAAAACTATTTTTTTATCTCTCTTCTTCCTCTCAGGCAAAAAGAAAGGCAGATCCTCAAGTAAGTTAGAATACTTCTTCCTGATCTTCTTTTGTTTTTGTTTATTTTTGGATGAAAATATGATGTTTGTTTATGTTTTTGTTAGTGGAAATAAATTTTGGTTGTTTTTTTTTCCAGTGATGGTATTTGTTGATGTCATTGTTGTTTTTTAATAAATTTGTTTTTTTTAAAAGAATATGTCTGTTGATGTTTTTAAATGAAGAAATATCTGCTTGTCTGTCTGTTGCATTTTTAACACTGATAATCTGTTTGTCTCTTGCATTTTAACGGAGATTCCTGTTGCCTGTTGTTGTTGTTTTTACTAAAACCTCTGTTGTTCCTGATATTATTTTTAAAACAATGAGATTATCTTTTTGTCTGTTCACTCGGTTTAATGTGTTACTATCTGTTATCTGCTTTTACTTTTACTTTTATCCTATTCGCCACTGATCGGCTCGCTAGCCGCCCGGGCGATCGGTCACGTCTCTGTCACGCACTGTTGGCAAGTACTCGCATGCACCGGCTCCTGAATGTACCTGAACCTGCTCCAGTGTTGGTCAAGTCTTGTCTTG